TGAGTCTCACTCTGTCACCCAGATTGGAGTGCAGTGGCACGCTCCCAGCCACCGCAGCCCCGACTTGCTGGGCTCTGGTGATCCTTCTGCCTCAGCCTTCCAAGTAGCTAAACTACAGGCACGTGTTACCACACCCAGCTAATTTTTTTTTGATTTATTGTAGAGATGAGGTCTCGCCAAGTTGCTCAGGCGGGTCTCGAACCCGTGGGCTCAGGCAATCCACTCACCTCAGCCTCCCAAAGTGCAGGATTACAGGCTGAGCCACTGAGCCCGGCTTCATTTCTATAAAAAAAAAAAAATCAAAAAATTAGACCAGTGTGGTAGCACACACCTGTAGTTCCAGCTACTTGAGAGACTGAGATGAGTGTAGGAGGTCGAGGCTGTGGCGAGCCGTGATCATGCCACTATACTCTAGCCTAGGTGACAGAGTGAGACTCCAACTCAAAAACCATAAATTAAAAAATAAATAAATAAATAAATGGTTAAAATGACAGTGACCTTCCAGACTTTGATAGAAGATCTATGCAGGAACAGCATGTTCTGCCTCTAGCAGCCAGAGAAGACTTCAAGAGATGATGTTTAGATGATCTTTTATTTATTTCTTACATTTTTCTCAGCTTGGGCTATTTTAAGAAAATTATAAATACTAGAAACCTAAGAGTTTTGCTTTGTAATACCTTACCCAGAGCTATTCAAAGATCCATATGGTTCACAAGATATTTCTGTTCCCATGACTCTGCTGAAACCATTCTCGTCAAGGTCACTAGCCATCTCTGCATTGCCAGATCAGGGGTCAAGTGTCAAGCCTCACCTTCTTTTGTTTTATCAGTAGTATTTTCCACAGTTAATCATGCACTTCTTCTTCACATGCTTTCTTTATGTAGTTTCCATAATACTAAACTTTCCTGGTTTTCTTCCTATCTCACCAGCCACTCCCTTTTTGTCTCCTTTGCTAATTCTACCCCATCTCCCTGATTGCTTAACGTTGTGATATTTTAAGGGTTGACCTTTTTTTTTTTTGAGTTGGAGTCTCACTCTGTCGCCCAGAGTGGAGTGCAGTGGCCGCTCCCGGCCACCGCAGCCTCGACCTGCTGGGCTCCGGCGATCCTTCCGCCTCAGCCTTCCAAGTAGCCGGAATTACAGGTGCGCGCTACCACGCCTGGCTGATTTTTTGATTTATTGTAGAGATGCCCAAGGATTGACCTTTTTTCTGAATGGCAGACTCACATATCCACCTGCTGGTCAACATTCCTATTTGCTTTCTGAGTAACATCTCGAACTTAACGTGTCCAAAACAGAATTCTGGACTCCTGTGCCTACCTCCTACTGTGAGAACACTCATTTGCGTTCTCTCCCACTGTTCCACATCCCAGTCCATAAAACTCCATTCTTCCAGTTGCTCAGGCTCAAATATTGGGAGTCATTAGCAACTCATCTCTTTTTCTACACCCCATATTGAATCTACTAGTAAATCCTTTTCGTTCGTTCTTCAAAATTTATACAGAATTTGATCATTTTCACTATCTACATTTCTATTACCCTAGTGCAGGCCACCATTACTTCTTGCCTGGATTATTGCAGTATATCCAGTTCTTTGTATTGTGACCACAGTGATCCTTTATATGCCCTGCTCAAGGCAAAATCCAACATCCTTTAACTTCTAAGGCTCTAGCCCATGTTTGTTCTCTTAACCTCATGTCTCAAGTTAGGGGGCTCTAGACCTGCCTAAAGTTGTAACAGTGCCTACAAGGTAAGGCCTAACAGGTGTGGTAGCATGCAGCCAGAGTACAGGAGTAAAGGGAGCTCTCAGGTGACTGTAGATTACTGTTTTGTGAAACATGTAGATTACTGTTTTGTGAAACAGGATGGGACGGAGTGGAGATAGTAATGAAAGCAGAACTCAGGCTTTCTTCCTTGAAGAAGTGAAAGACTTGGGTGTCTTTATGTGTCTATGGAATGGTGCCCACAGGAGGGAGAGCTTAAGGCTGTTGGTCACTGACTGATCAAGGATACAAGCAAGACTGTGCTGCGAGGAGAAGCAGTTAGGGGCTGTGCCAGTATGGAGATTGTAGATTGACTGCAGTCACTCCTATCCGTTTAGTTGTGTGGCTTTATTCTACCACTTCACCCCCTCTTCTGATCAGAGCCTTCTCGGCATCTTCAGCCTACCTTGTCTAACTCTTTCATTGTGTCTGCCAGTCCCCTAGTGATCCTTATCTTCTTTGGAGAAATGTCTATTCAAGTCCTTTGCCCATTTTTAAATTTTATTGTTTGTGTTTTTGCTGAGTTGTAAGAGTTCTTGATATATTCTGTGTAATAGACCCTTATGATATATGATTTCCAAATATATTTTCCCATTCTGTAGGTTGTCTTTTCACTCTCTTGATGTGTCCTTTGATGCACAAAATTGGTAATAAATGGTAGCTCTACTGTTTTCTAGTTTTATATATCTAAATCTTCCTCAGCAAGATGGTGAGTTTCTTCTTCAGGACAGGGGCTGAGTCTTATGCTTATTTTAGCTAGTATATTTGGCACAAAGCTAAGACTAGAATAAATGCTTAAGAAACATTTGTTGGTTTGAGGTGAGTTTGTCATTATCCGAAGTTACCTGCTTTAGAAGAGGTAACGTTGTTATAAAATGTTATATTATCCCACCATTTATTTTATCAAACTCAACTTTTGCTTTGCTCCTCTGTGATCTGAGATTGGCTTGTAGTAAACTGATTGTCCGTGTGTCTGTTGCAGGGGGATGGTGGAGGTGGTAACCATTGATTCTCTAAGAGGCAGATCCAACTACAACTTACCATCCCAACCATTGCTTCCAGCTTTCCTCCTGCAGACTTAAAGCTGGGCTGTGATCTGTCCCTGGAAGCTGACTCCCTGGGGCAAGACCACTCACAAAAAGGAAAAAGGGTCTTTTCTACCCTCCTATCAGACTTCCCCGCCAAGGCATCATGCATTGCAAGAGAGTATTGCCCTGGCTGTATATAGTCCTAGCAAAATGTTAAAACAGCAAATCCAGGATAATGATACCTCTTGACAGGGAGGAAGGGCCATAAACTCTGAGAGGGGACTTCAATTGTATCTGAAATGCTTATTTTTGATGCAGGACTGTGGGGCACATGGATGTTCATTTATTATCATAGATATTATGTAATCTTGAATTTGCTGAATATTGTTTCCATGCACATATTATCTATAAATAATACTGCATGTTTGAGTATCTTCAAGCTTTGTATATGTAAAATTATCAAATTTTATGTGCACTTTAGCTACCTATATTTTTTTGCCTGACTTTTTCTTTTTGCAGTCTCACTCTGTCGCCCAGACTGGAGTGCAGTGGCACGGTCATGGCCACTGCAGCTTTGACCTGCTGGGCTCAGGTAATCCTCTCGCCTCAGCCTCCCAAAGTGCTGGGATTGCAGTGTCTGACATTTTTTGAGATTTGTTTATATCGATGCATGTAATTTTAGACCTCTTTATTAATGTTTCATTTTATAAAGAGAACACAAGTGATGGATCTTTTCTGCTGTTGGTGGACATTTCACTAGTTTCCTGTTTTTCACTCTTGCAAACACAGTTGTAACTCCTTGTGCTCAGGGCAAGAGACTTGTGTAGGAGTGGACTTAGAGGCTGCAAGACATATATACCTCTCACTTTGCTGGTATTGCCATGTCTCTCCTTGGAGTGGTTGTCCTGCTTTACTTTCCCACCAGGTGTGCATGGGAGTTAATGTTGGCCAATCCTTGGTAATCCTGTCTGTGCTTGTTTCTCTACCTCTAGATCACCAGAAAAGGTGGGAGGTAAGGTTTTGCAATTAGGAGGAGAAAAGTCAGCTCTGAGGGATTTCCTGTTACATTTATTTTCACAAGGAAAAGATTTTGCTTTCTGTTTTTATGAAAATAATGTCTAAACTTCTGTGGAAAACAGTTACATTTTTTACTCTGAAGTATACAGGTTTTTTTCTTTCTTTCCTTCTTTTTTTTCCTGTTTGCACTCTTGGGAAATATGTAGGAAACTAATTGTTCTTTCCTACATATTTCAATGTTCAGTTGCCATAATAGTCATTTTTAAATGTTTTAAGTAGCTTGGGGCATTAGGTTTATCTATTGCTTTTCAAAGTTTTGAATTGGTTAAAATGAATTGAATTTAAAATGTGACACAACTTTATGGATAAAAATTGATCATAATTATTTTCCACACTCTTTGCATTTTGTGAGGAGGGGAAAGTGTTGACATTTTAAAACAGATTAGAAGAACCATAAAGAGTCACTTGGCTGTTTTATGTTGTCTCTTATGTTCACAGGTGGGAAAGGAGAAGTTTCATAAATCCCAACATTGGGGCTTTTGCAACAATGTTAGAATGCTGGTGAGTGATGAGAAACCTGGAATAGGTGGAGAACCACTTCTTGGACAAAAGATCAAGCCAAAATATAGCATATATCCTAAAGGAGAAGGAACTGATGTGCCATCATGGATAGCTTTTGATAAACAGGTAAGTCTTCAAATTTTACAGATCCTAAATAGACTTGATAAAATAGGAGTCTTCAATGTAAATGTTAAGGCTATTTTTTTTTCTATTTGCCTTTTCTATTCATTATTGCCTTTATTTTTAGAGTTTCTCCTCTTGTCCTTATTTTTTTAATTGACAAATAGAGTTGTATATATTTGTGGTGTACAACATGATTTGAAATATGTATACACTGTGGAATGTCTAAATGAAGTGAATTAACACATGTATTACCTTACATACTATTTTTTTGTAGTGAGTGTACTTCATCTACTCTGTTAGCAATTTCAAGTATATAGAACATTGTTATAAACTGTAGTCACCATGTTGTACAGTAGATCTCTTTAATTTATTCCTCTTGTCTATCTGAAATTTTGTATCTTTTGACCAAAGCTAGTTTTTCTGAAAAGATAAATTCAGAAACAAGAGTATCCTAAATAAAGAAAAGATTGTCCTTGCTCTGCTGTTTCTGACCAGGTGCATTAGTTGCAGGATGCCAAATGTTCATCCTTCTTGGCTAATGTTTATCAACCTTTCTCTCATCTCTTTACATGGACAGGATAATCTGTGCTTCTGTAGACACTAAGAGTCTGGTAAGACTGTCACTATTGCTTTTGAATTGCCATTAACAAAATAATTTTGTATGATTCTGAATGTGGCATTAAATAGGAACAGAAAAATATCTGTCCTTCTTTTCTCATACTAATTATGGTTGCTCTTCCCAAAGGACTAAAGGGTGACTTGACAAGAATTATAGAAGTAAAAGGAAGAGGTGCTGTTATTAGACAAAAGTTGGAACTTTTTAATGTATATGTCTGTACACATTACACATGCATGCATACACACATATACACTGACATGTTGACAGTTGGAAAAGGGAATGCATTTGAGTCTTTTAGAAAGGAACTAAGGTCAAAGGAAAAAAAATTACCAGTTATGTGGATATGCTGCGTTTATCAGACAACTTAATATCATAATCCCATGTTCTGTTCACCAAAAAAGAACAAGTTATTAGATTATTTTAAACTCCATAATTAAGACATAATTCAGGACTAGATAAAACATTCAAACCATGGTATGCTCAGTCTACCAGGTGATTTTTGGCAGCTTTTAATGTAGGTTGGTTGGTCATACTTTGATTTCAATTTAATTGTCCTCAAATTTGGTAGAAATGACACATTCCTATGTCATCTGTGATAGGATGGATCAATTAGGGCACATTTTTTTTTAAAGCCCTGTTCTGGCACTTGTAGAGATCTAACAGGGAGGCTTCTTTCCTGGGAAATCATCTCTACTTTCAACATGGGCCAATATTTTCCTTTTATTTAGATTATTTTCAGTACCTGGCTCAGTGCTGGACCCAGAGCTCAAAAACAGTTTTTGAGCTGATTGACTTGGGTGGATTATGCATAGTTTTCTGCTGTTTTCAACCTTATAGGATGTTTAATTTGTAAGGGCCAAAGAAAAGATTCTATTTTTACCTCATGTCAAAAACAGGGTGTTGACAATATTTTAAAGTTATCTACTACTGAATAAGTAATGTAGGCCACAATGTATTAAACTATTCTCTTGCATTTAAAGTTGAAAAGTCATTTTATTTCATGTTTTTCTCAATGTTTAATATGTGACTTTCAAGCCTATTTTGCAGCCCTTTAATTACTTATAAAATTATGTAGAATATTTCATGAAGCTGGAATAATTTTAGCTTCAGATTACTTGAGAAAATGAAGAGCTTGCTCATTTCAGGTCTAACTAAATGCAACATAATTCTTTCAGTTATTTTGTTGGTCAACTTCAATTAAATATTCATTGAACTTTAAATGAGACGCTAAGACTATGAAATATTTACGTGTTCGGATGAGATTGTGAACTACAGACTAGATCCTGTTTAATACCCAGAGTAAATTATAAAGCACTTTCTATATTTGTGGTTCAACAAAACAAGTCAGCACCTGTTAATCATTTTTCTTAAAAATGAGACATTTTCAACTTGTTGCCAGTTTTTCCAGTAGCTTTTAATCCTAGCAATATATCTAGGGTTATACTGTCAGAGAATGCAAAGTAAAAATAAGGGCAATTCTTTGGAATGTGTATTAAAATTAATACTTGTAGTAGATGCTTTTGGTGCCCACTCAAATCCATGTTAGGGGTCGTGTGCCCATACCCCAACTGTGACAAGTGCTTTGACCAACAGCTCATAGCTGTAACTCTCTCTGAAGATTTGCTCTTGGCTGATGGGAGTTGCATCTCTCTGAGACAATTGAGAGGTTACATTGGCCCCTTCTCCCTGAGAGGGGCAGCCAATTACTAACTGATGTATCAAGAGTGAAAAGCTCAGTTTCCTTGCTTCAAGGCAGGATAATTCTGTGCTGTGATTCAGGCTCCATAGCCCTTTGTGCATTAGGCCAAGGTTATACTTGACCTGATAATGCATCCTTGTTTTACTCATTTCCTTTTCTTTTGCTGTTTCTCACAACATCCTTATAGTTTTCTCCCAAGAGTATGCCCTTAATAAAGCACATGCACCTAAATCCCTGTTTCAGGTTCTGCTTTTATGGAACCCAACCTAAGACAACATTCCAGTTTTTAATCTATAATTCTAAAATGACCACCAAAATATCCTGCTTAAACCATCACATTACACACAGAGAAAATGCTATTTGCATTTGCCAAAAAGAGCTTGCATTTGTTATCTTCCGTGGCCCCTGTGGCAGACACTTATAGCTGCTTATCCTTTATTCATTCTCCCCTTGATTTACATATAGAATAGCTTCGTGAAGGTTGGAAATGTTGCCATTTAAAAGTGTTCACCTCCCCAGGCTCTTTGCAGCTACCACTAGTCATGTGATTCACTTCTGGCCAATAATATATGTGTTTAGATTGATTGGGTGGGGCTCTTGGGAAAGTTACTGTTGTTCTAGTGAAAACAGTCAGGCTCAGCTGGTATGATTTTCCTACCTTTTGCCCTTTGTTTTCCTGACTAGAACTAGTGTTACGTACGAACCAAACTGAGTCTATTTGCCTGCGTGCAAGGGAAAGCCAAACACTAAAGCAGTGGGTTTTTGCAGCAAGAAAGGTTTATTGCCAGTTGACTGGCAAAAACACAGAAGGAAACACTCAAATATGTCACCCTGAGCTGAGGGCTGGGCTAGGTTTTATAAGCATATGGTAATGAAGGATGATCTGATTGGATCTTGTAATGAAGTGATACCAGGACGCATGATCTGACTGGATCCTGCCATGGGGTGACGTCAGGGCTCTATCTGATTGGATCCTGGGTCCTGCATTTCTTAATTCAGTCCTGTTCCTTGGTCCAAGCACTTGGGTTTCTCCTGTGGGTGCATGCTTGGTTCATCTGGGCATGCTCAGGTTATATGACCTTCAATCTGGGAGTCCATGGTAACTGAAAAACAACCGACAACTTTGTTACATAAAAGCTGAACCAGATTGGTCTGATGTGGTTACATTAGGACATTGATTCCTAGGGCATAGCAGCCATCATTTATGAGCACAGTGGAGATTAAAGGAGCCTGGGTCCTGGTTGGCACTGTTTTAAGCCACTGTTTTAAGGCCTAGGCTACCTCTTTCTGGACTAGTTTATATGAGAAAAACCAAGCCCTATTTAACAGGTTCTTAACCAGAGAAGGCATTTGGAAATGTGTGGTGGTATTTTGGGTGCACTTCCCTTGGGTGCATCATTTAAGGGGTGCCCCAAACCTCAGTAGTCAAGCTAGATAATGTTTTAGTGTAATATCTTAAAAACTCAATGCCAGAAATTCAAATGAACAAAAATGCCAACATTTTAAATACAGATAGGATCAGTAACTGTGCATGAAAGCTATACTGGAGCCTGAGGCAAAAGAAAAAATCAGTAATACTGATCCTATCTTTATTAAAAACTTGGCATTTTGATAGTTTGTTCCTCCTGGATTTTTGCATTAATTTTGATGTTTAAATCACCTCACCCTAGAGCCAGCTGTGACTGGGGAGGTGTCACTTGCCATTGAGTACCTGGGAGCCAAGTGTATATTACATATCCTACAGTGTAGGGAAGGGCATTCCCACACTGGGAAGAATTGTTCTACCTTAAAAGCCAATGATGTTCCTATTGAGAAACATAGTTATGCCTGCTTCAAAAACCTGGCTTTGGGGGAGATTTATACAAATAGCCTAAAGAGTTTTAGCTGATACCTTTTCCCCCAAAGACTAGTTATTTCATTGAATTCATTTAAATAAAAGCAGGCCATTATGGACCAAGACAAAAACAAGACCACTCCACATCATAATCAGTCTGAATACAGACAGAACATGAGCATTGTCCAAGCCACAAAATGCATCACTCACACCAATTATTTTCAGTCATCATCCCAGTACCTCTGCGAGGAGGAAGCAAACATGAATGGTTGCCCTCACTGTGAATGAAATGAGGAATCATTCACAAGGAGAAGCAGAGCAGGGACCAGGATCTGAGATTGGGTGTTGGAGGCAATGGTTCTGGTCCTGATACTACCATTGACTATGTGATTGTGGCTTAGTCACTTTACCTCTCTGTGTCTTAGTTTCCTTGACTGAAATGCAGGACTTGGCTAGCTGATCTCTAAGGCCCTTTTAACATCTAGCGGTATGTCTGAGACTTGACTGAAATCAAGTTCAGCTTGTTCATTCTAGAACTAAGTCCAGACCCTGACTTTCCTGGCCTGGGACTCTTTCTCATTACACTAGGCACCCACTACTTCATTATTAATTGAAATTTGACATTTAGCAGTTTATGCTGCAGTTGATGTAGTATGAGATGTGTCATTAGCTGCTTTTTTAAAAAGTTGAACTATTTAGAAATATATAAATGACTGAATGTTTTTATATGACATTCATCTGGATGTTAAGCATCATTTACATAGACTATAATTATGCTCTCATTTCTTTTCATTTGTCAATGGCTCCTAGTTAGCCTAATTTGTTTGCTATTTCACAAATGATTCTATTAC